GGTTTTAGGTCATCGGGTGACCTTCCAGGTCAGGTCAATGACCCGAAAACCGGGAAAATCGGGACCTGTTAGAAAGTCGTAAAATGTGGCTGCTATGTGGTTTTCCGGGGTGCTGATCACGAATATCGTGTTAGTTTTGATCAGAGATGATGTTTTTAAGCATTTAGACCAGGGTCAGGTCAGGTCAACCGGTAGGGGTTGTGACGGGTATTCGTAATACGTGTCAACCGCCTCTGACAGCTTCGTAGCATGTTACGAAGGTAGCAAAACTACTTCGTAAATGTTCAAATGGTTGCTAAATTCGAATTCAGCTCCAAAAACTAGCCTAGAAACATGTAAAACTCGAAAAAGTGAACCGAGGTCACCCGAGGTCACCAAAGGTCAATGACCTGACCTGACCTTCAGGTGACCTTGACACCCACCCTAATGTATGGGAGCAACATCAAATCACATGTTTGAACGTTTGAAACCACGAAAAGCTTGCAAACGCGCGGCTAATGCGAGCCGACATATGTACGCCGAATCGCGATTTCGGTCAAACATGGTCACGGAAAAGAGGTCACAGGTCAAAGGTCATTGGGGTCAGGGTCTTGAAATTTTCAGGGAACGTGTAAAATTGATCAATGCGAGGGTACTGAAAGTTTCGTCGCGATCGGCCGCTTTTTACGCGAGTTATTCGCGAAAAACCTCGGGGGGGGGGGTTGCATCAACCCCCCCCCCCCTGTGCCGGCGAGGGTTAAACACTTAAACCAGTTTTCATGAATTACAGAGGGTTTGTGATAAGCCTGTTGTACAAAATTGTGTTCATGTGGCGCATGCACGCAAAAAGTTGTGGAATGACGGAAGAAAATGGTCGAAATCGAATGACCTATTATTACTTAGTCTGCAGCGCTCGTGCATGTCCAAATTTAGGCATGGTCAGAAAAAATCGCGAATAACCCGTCTATCCCACAGGCATGCCTTCCTCGCCCCGCGCACATTTTTCCTCACTATGCTCCCCGCTCAGGCCCACCGGTGCCTATCGACTATCGGTCCGTCCTGCCTTCCCGGCAGCAGGGCCGCGTTTGGCGCGAGCAGCCCTCTCGGCATCCCGCCTCTCCCAGTCCGGACCGCTCGGGTTATTAGCGACATATCGGCCGCCGCCGATACATCGACTCAGTGATGAACAGGCAAGGGTTCATCAGTCCGCATTAGTGGAATGGAGCGCCGCCCCACCATATTGCCAATAAGGTCCTGCTGCGGCCGCCGGGGCTGCGCAGATAACCGGCCCAAACACGGTACTAATCACGGACTGGTCACTGCGCCGCGACTATTTCGGGAGCCGGGCCGGAGATCCCGGAACGAACGGCGACGGGACATAGACACTAGACAGTCGCCATGGGATGACTTGATTAGCTTATCGGAAAGTGATGTAAAAATGCAGGCAGAAATATACGCTTCTTTAGCCACTGCACTGCTGAGCACGGTGCACAATGCAAGTCGAGAAGACGAAACGTTAATTAAATACAGGATTAACACAGGATTCACGTGTGGATTAATTCTGCAATGCTCATCAAGAGCACACCTGACTATGTAGAGGCTTCTTTAGTGAAAGCGGTACGGCAGCACGCTCGGCAAAGACCCGGTTGCAGCTCCCTCGTGTTCTTCCCGCCTCAGTCCGTTGGTCAGACCGCCGCCAAAGACCATCCGGGAAGGAGGAGGAGCCCATCTCGCGCGGCGCGGCGCACATAAACAGCGCAGCGCGCCATGGGCCGGGCCGCGACGCGGCTGGCGGACCGGGGCGGCCGTGATCGGACCAGCCTCCCGCCGGCGGCTCGAGCGGCGCAAGAATGCCGCGTCGTGCCCGGCCAGCAATATACGATCACATATAGCAGCGGCGCGGCGCACGGCCGGCTTTTTGCGCTCGTTGAGCACGGCCAGGGGTGGGCGGCCGGCGGACGGACGGCGGGCGGCGCGCGCGGCGGCCTTTCACGCGCGGCGGACCGGCGGCGCGCCGTGCAATGCGCTCGGGCCGGCGGTAAACAGGTGCGTCGGCCGGCCGCGCCGCTCCTATTCCGGCACCTGCAGTCGCGCCATGGCTGGCCGCTTTCTAATGCCGCCGCCGCGCCGCGACGCCCGACGGCAAAAAGACGGCTGCAGCATCTCTTTTCACCGGCTCGCGCGCGCTGGCGAGCGGCAGGGTCGCGGCCCGACGTGTCGCCGCGCGTCCGAGCCGTGTCCGAGACCATCCGCGGACAGCCGGCCGCTGCCCAGGCGCGGTCTCAGAGCGCTAATGGTCTAATCGGCGACGCCCACGCCGCTTTCGCACGATTACCGCATCGTTGGCGACGGCGGACAAATGGCGATCGGGCCGGCGGCGAGGCCGTGTGGCGGCCGCCGAGGGCGCCCCGGGCACCGCCGGATACACCGGTTTATTATCGTGCGAAACGCGGCGAGCCGGGCGCCGCCCGCTTGGCCCAGGTCAAGTGCCGACTGCCGGCCACCGGCCGATCGGGCGTTTAATTACTGTCAAAATTATGGTCGAGCGGCGATCGACGGCGTCTATAAACGGGGCGGCGCAAATAAAAACGCGGCCGTGCCGCCGAGGCGAAGAGCGGTCGCCTAGGCATTGAACCCATTACGGCAGTTAAACAGCACGGCGTTAATTATCTGTGCCGTTGCGGCAGCGCGGAATCGACATTCATCAGAGCCGAGCCGGCGTTCGGCGGGTGCGCCCGCGGCGAGATGCGAAATACCATAGCTCATCAGCGCGGCGGGCGTCGGAGCGCCCGGCGGCGGCTGCTGCCCTCTCATGGAGCTGTCAGCGGCGACCGGCGAGCCACCCCGCGACGGCAGCTCGCGGCCAGACGCACATGGCTGCCCCGCGTCCGCCCTGCTCTTCCGAGAGCACGACGGCCGAACGGCCGCACTGAACCACTGCCAGCGCGCCGGTCGGCCGTTCAAGCAAAAAAACCATTCTCGATCCGAATTGACCGTCGTAAAAAGGGTCCTCTCTCATGCGAAATTGGGAAAGGTCATCTACCCGCTGCGGGTTTTTTTCTATCAGTGGACGCCAGGAACCGGTCTCGGTCGGGCCGGGCCGGGCCAATCATCTCTGACCATCAGCCCTCGGCGGCGACCAAACGAGTCCTCGCCAAACGGGCGACCTGTCCCCGGCCTGTCCGCCCCGGCGCCGCGCGCCGCGCGACGCGCCGTGTGAAATCGCCACAGAATGGCCATGCTCGCCGCCCGGCCGGCATAAATAAATAATCCGCCGCCGGCGACGGCAGCGGCGGCCCACCGGCCGACGGAGATGCTCCGGAATGCGGTCCACAACAATGAGTGAAAAATCCGCGAGCGGCGCAGATCAGCTTTTGGCGAGGGTCGTCGACCTGGCCGGCCGGCTCCGGGATAAACAGACGGCCCCTGGCCGGCAGTAAAGCGGGCCGTCGCTCCAAACGACGACACTAACGACTGCCGACCGTCACCGTCGTCCAGTGTCCGCCGGACGGACAGTCGGACCGTTCGTCCCTGTTCGCACTGTGCGTTTGTCGCCGGCTGGCTGACGGAAACGGACCGCGCTGCGTGCACGCATGCCATGAGGGTGACGTCGCGTCCGCTCGGGCCGATCGGCCGCGGCGGTGACGGCCGTACCAGCCGCCGTCATCGATTGCGAGCGACGGCCTGGTGTCGTGCTACCGGGCGACACCGGACCGCCGCCGCTCCGCCGCCCGCCGAGACGCATCGCCGGCCCGCCGGCGACCATTACACGCGAAAAACAAAAACGTTGACAGCCAGCGGGCCAGATTAAACGGCCGCTTCAAACGCGAGCGGCGCACCGGGGCGCGGCACCGCTTCCGTGGCCACCGCTGTCACCGCGGCCGGCGCGCTGCGGCGCGGCTGCAGTCAGTTTCAGCCACTCCTCGCCCGAGGGCCCTAGCGGCGCACCGCGGCCGCCGGCCGGCCGGCCCATGCAATAACAGACCTAGGGCAACGTCTTCTCCATTGGCCTATAACTCAGCTTGCGGTCGGCTGGCTATTCGCTTCAATGCACGGCAAAAACGGGCAGAAAAACGCGCAAACACCGGGGTAATGACAAACAAATCACCGAAAATGACATGCTACGATGCAGGGATGTGGGAAAGGGAATTGGGCCCAGCGGCGCGCAGTGCACTGCGCCGATGAATATGCATGGATAGCTGCTGCATGACACGCCTGGGGACTGCGAGAGAGCGGACAGGATCGGCGCGACAGGGGACCGGCTTTCGCCGCGCACCCTCTCCACCTAGTCAGTCGCAGTCACCAAACTAAGGCGAGTCAACGAGTCATGAATCTGAGCGGAGTCTGCGTTTCGGGAATGGGGAAGCGTTGACCGATTCGGGACAGGAGATGGCACCAAGACACATGAATGGGTCACCTGCTTCAAACCCGGATGACAAGGGGCGCACCCAGACCGGATCTGCTGAACCGAACACGCTTCATTTCGTCCACCGATGCCGGCATCGCGCTCAGCGCGGCACAACAGGAACACTTCAATTAAACCGATGCTCGCGGGCAAGTGGCCCGAACGAGACGCACACATACAAACAAACACACACCGTCGCCCCAACGGTCACCGCCGTAGCCAGGTGGCATCCCGGGGAGAGACGACATCCACCTGGGATCCTCCGCGCGCGCAGCGCGAGCACATACGCGCACGCACACCACGCACGAGACAGCGACCCGACCTGCGCGCGGGGACGAGCCGGCAGTCCTCAGTGAAAGGTGAAATTGGAATAATAAGTCGGGCAGGCAGCGGGTCCGGCGTCATTGACGCGTCCTCGCGCGGCCGGCGGCGGCGATTCGCCAGTGATAAGGCGCGGCCGGTCCCAGCCGACGCGGACCGGGCCGGTAGAGGCAGGTGGCGACCCGGGTCAGGTCTCTCTCGAACATCAGACTCATTTGGCAGCTGTCCTGTCATCCGTTCTGCCCATCGGATGAGAGCATATCTGGCAAGTCATTACGTAATAGTCGGTACTTACACATGTTGTAATCCCAATGTGGAGGCGGAGTTTCGCCTACCGAGCCGTTGCTTATCTGAAAAGTAGAAAAAATGAGACGGTCAGATATGGTCATTGGTCAATGGTCATTGCGATTCTCACGTGGAGGTCATGATTCGCATTAGAAGAACAAACATGTGTGCAAGCTTTTTTGTTCCTAAACATAAAGTCATGAGCGCATCCACGCCATTCAGGAAGCAATAAGAAGCTGCGAGTAAAAACACGGGACCTGGCACGTCTGTGACATGGGTTTTTCAGACGAAGTCCCAGCATGAAAGGGGGCGCTTTTGAGGTGTGAAATGAGTGGGCCTGACGAAAAACGACCGAGATATGATTTGTGTGTACCTAATAGCGATTCAAAGAATGACAATGTAATAGATAATTAGTGAATAAGCTTATCCATACACCTAAATCTACATTTGTTGCGGCGTAATTTCAAAATTGAGTTCCGGGCAGTGCGTGGCGGAAGTGCCGTTCTGTGCCTACTTCTCATCCTCGTTTCGTGATTCGAGTGAGGTGTTCTCTCTTCATCCCCGTTTCGTGATTGGATGCCACCGAATCCGCTCTGCAGTCTATCAGCGCCCACGGTCCGCGCGGAGCGGCCGGCGACAGCCCACCGGTACCGTGCCGTCGCCGACCGGCGGGAGGAGGCAGCGGCCGGTTCGCCGTCCGTGAAATCACCGGCCGTCGCCGCCGACAGACGCGGCGCGCGGTGCCGTTCCGTGTGCGTCCGTGTGGGTTCTGCCGGCGGTGGCGCGCCGTTTTTGCCGCGGCGGCGACCGTCGCGCTCGGCGGCGGCCGCCCATCGCGCTCTCACACAGCCGCACGCAAAAACCGGCCACGCCCCCCCCCCCCCCGCCGCCGAACCGCACTGCCGCCGGCGCGCGCGCCAACCTGTCATCGCGGGCTGACCGGCACCGGCTCCGACCAATCAGGAAGCCAGAGTCGGGGCGAATGATCCCCAAATGGCACTGAGGGGGAGGAGAAGTCCCCCGGGCCGAGCCGGACTGATGGGCGAGCGCTAATGTGAACTCCAACCCCAATCAGGCTAGTCGTCAAGGCGCTAATAAGCCGGGTTGGTGCCGGCCGTTCAGGTGCGTTCACATGACGGTACTGGAGCATTTATTGGCAGCGGATGTTGCCTTTTTCAGCCATGGGAACGGTATTGGTTCTCAACCGAGCCACGGACTTTCCTTGGGGGGGGGGGGGGGGCTTGCAATGGTTTCTAAGAAAAGAGGCAGTGAACTAATCGGATAGAGCGATTCGTAGATTGCAGCTCACCGACCTGCAATCTACGAATTGCAGGTCACATGAGCTACGTATTACACATGCAGTGTAATACGTAGCTCAAAGTATCTGTCATACTCCTCGGCACCTGAAATCGCATCTCATGACTCTGCCTATCGGAAGTGTCGCGCTGTCCCACCTGCCACCCTCTCCACCTGGGGCTCGATCCGCGTAGTCACCCCAACCGGCCCGGGGGCGCCGTCCCTTCCTCGTCCTCTCATGTGCCGGCAGTTAAGAAACAAACACGCCCCGCTGTATGTAACGGGCTCGTCCGATCGGAGGGCGCGGCTGGCCGCTCCCCTCGGGACCACCGCTCACGCACACGCACGCGAGCGGGCGCCTATTGAGATCGGCTGCTCACGCCGCTCTCCGCCGGCGTGACGCCGCAGGTTGCACGTTCCGAAAGTGCGCCATCGTAACGGCTTCGGGCGCACGCATAAATTCCACCTTTCCCCGGCCCGTCTTTCCGCGTGGAACTGGGTTAGACCGCCAATAAAGCGTACTTTCATCGTGCCGCGGGCGTCGCCACTTGTTTGCTTGCACCGGCTGGCGGCTGGCGGCGGCGGCGCGCACATAACCCGTTCGTTGGCATCGCGCCGCGGGCACCACAGAGCGGATGGCGCGGGCGGCGACCGCCCATGACGCCCGGCCGCGCGGCGAGCCAGTGGCGCAATGACGCGCTGTCGCGCACAAACATACGCGCGCGGCTTCCGCGGTCGCTCGCAGCTCGCCCAGCCCCCAGGCTCAGTAGCGTCCGCGGCTGCTCGCAGCCCGCCCAGGCTCAGTAGCGAGCAGCAGTTTGCGTCACCCATGGGCGCGCGCGCTGACAGCTCGGCAGGCGGCGGCCCGTGGCGGCGGTCGAAACTGACCTGCCTCACTGCCGACCGGCTTGCACCACCGCCACGCCGCCGCCGCGCCACCAGCAGCGCCCGGGCGCCGGACAATGGGGTGTCACTGCGCCAATGAGGTGGATCGCACGCGCCTGGCCACGAGCCGTACCGTCACTGACACAATGGCACACGCTATTTACCCCGAGTAAACGGCGCCCACCGTCCGTAACGGCCCGGCGGCGAAAACAAAGGACGGTGCGATGAGAAACGGTCAGCCAGCGATAACAGATTATTACTGAGTTTTACACGCGTATTAGTGCGTGCTCAATTGTGTACACAAGTGCGTTGGATTGTGAACTGTTGATACCGGATGACAATATGTTAAACTTATTGTGGCTTGAGCTTGCAAACGTGCTGTGTACGATGCTATGCTTAGGCATCGAGTGTAAAACAATGACTATCGAAAGCTGAAGCAGAAAAGGGAAAACTGACGACTGTAATTTATCGGGTGAATTTTCCGAATAGCTTTCACTCCGTACGAGCAGTCAGAGCCGTAGGAATAGGCTGCCCCACAAGCTCCCGGAAGTAAATCAGGCGCTATAAAAACATGTTAAATCGACAGCAAACAGTCCGTAGCTCTACCAAGCTCAAAATCATCCATGCATTGTGAATTGCTCAGCTCAAAGAATGACCCCATTGCTTCACAGCTAGCGTTGTGACACCTCTTCTCGGGCGTGCGAAAATTCACACCACGTCATGTCATCTGCCAAGTGCCCGCGCAACGGTGTGTGTGTATGCTGAAATAAGCGAGCTTTTTTGTTACGAAATAAGAAATAACGATGATAAAAACTTGCGTGACATCATAACTGTTCATTGTCCTAGATCATAGATAACATGAATCATGCTATCTATGCCTAGATATAATAAAATTGCGTGTCATCGCCTGCGTCTCATCTGAGATTTGCGTGCATCCTATCCAAATGTGCGTGATTTGCGAGATGTCGCTCGAAAGTCACTCCGTCTCCAACGCTCAGCAATAACACAAAGTTTTTCGGGAACAACATCACGCAAAAACCGACGCCTCGTATAAGCGCACGCAAAAAGGGGCAGTGTAGTTCGGCCTTTACTCCTGAGCGAGGCAGGGGCTGTATGTTTTACAGGAAGACGAGTCCTCACTGAGCCCCATCCACCAGGCCGAGCCGATATATTGTGGATTGCCAGCCTATCAGACTGTTGGCGGGTTAGTAGCTAAACATCTGTCGGAAATCTGTCGGAAACTGTGAGCAGCAAGTCCATTACATTTTCTTGAAGAAGATATCAAACAGCAGTGGCGTGAATGAAGATCGATTTAACGAGAGCAGGTACGCATTGGTGGGCTATCATATCATCTAACGCCTGTCTGGACATTATTAAGTGTGCCTCTTTAAACGATAGCTTGCTCTTTGCAGTCCATTCATTTCGGCGTTGCTAAGTTTCCCGCATCTACATTCCGCATACGGCTTACAGGTGTTACTAAATGTCATATTTGCATATTCAAAAAGGCACTCGTGTTACCTTCGAGCGAACGTTTACAGACTGCAGATTAGCCGAGCCGTTTGATCGAACGCTTTACTCGATGCCTGCGATGCCTCAACACCAACTGCTGGTACGCGTCGCCATTCGAGTTCTTCTACCGCCGCATGAAACACCGCAGCGGCGCATCTGTGCAGGCATGTTTTGCCACGCATCCCGCTTCGAATGGCACGGCCGGTCACGATGACCTGGTATTCGCAGCTGGGGTGGCCGCCGATCCACCGGCGGCGACAGGATGCCGCGCGGTCCGCGCCTCGGTCCGGCACCCTGCTCCGCCCTCCCCAGACCGACCCGTCACCGTGTCACCGGCCGGTCAGCAAGGCTCGCCGGTCAGCGACGGTCGCGAATCGGCGACACTCGGCCGCTTTTTGTGGTCGCACCGCGTACAGACCGCCCGGCCGGCCCGGTTAGCGCGGCCGCTGTCGGCAAAAAGCGGCCCGCCACCGCGGCCTGTCCGCGCCGCGTAATTGGTGACCGAGCCGGCGGCAGTCCACGAGGGCGCCGCGGCGCCCCGGCCTCCCCGTGACCGTGGCTATCTAGCGCTCCAGGCGCAAATAATGGCGGGTCACAGTCGCGCCGCGCGCCGCGCTACCGGCGACTCCCACGCGCGCGCGCCGATCAGCCGTCGCGGCGACCCGTTACCGACGAGACGCTTCGTCGGACACGACGCACCGCCGCCGACAGTGGGCGCCTCCGCCGCCGCCGGCCGGGCACGTGAACCGCCTGGCGATGCCCGCGGCGGCCGGCGCGCGATCTGCATGGCGCTCGGCCTCGCCGGCGCGCGGCTGGCAAAAACGGGCATTACCCCAACAGGTCGTTACTCTGGCCAGCGCTTTACGACCCAGGAAGGGCCAACTAGCGCAGAGTCAAAGAACGCATTCATTCTGCAGGAATGAGGGGGCGGCTGGCCGGCCGGCCGGCCGGCGCGCTGCCGCCGAGATGAGAAAGTTGCGCGCCGCGCGCCAGGCTCCGCCCAGAACCGCGATAAATCACCACCCGGCCGGCCACTCGCTTCAATAATAAGCCGGCAGGCAGACTGACCAGCCGCCGGCAGACAGAGCAAACACGGCCTACAACCATCCGGCTGGTGAGGCAGGTCAGACGGCGCCGTGCGAGCCGACGGCGCATGGTTAGCGCGTGCACACGGCACGGGCACCGCGGCGGCGAGGCGCGGCCGTCTCCTGAGAGAGCCCAGCCAGCGGTGACGAGCGGCGATAATTTCACGGCGTGCCGGCGTGGGATTACGTGCCGGCCCGCCGCCGAGCCGTTCCGGTAGGCCACGAGAGCCGCGAATACACCGGCCACCGACACCGCAGCGGCCAGGCGCAAATAACCGGCATCATTACCGCTTCGGGAGGCGGTTGGCTGACTGCGATGATGCTAAATACCGCCGGTGACCGGCCGCGTCGCGTCGCTGGCGACACTGGCGCGGCTGAACCGCGGAGGGCGGTCGGCGGTTCACGTGGTGCGCCGATGGTCCTTTATTGGCGATCGGTGGCACATAAGGTAGACGTGCGCTTTTGCGACAACGGTAGTGCGGTGTGTTGGCGGCGAGATAATCGATAGATCCGATCGATGGATTGCACTTTGCGAATGTTATCGAGTTTGATGGACAATAATAAGAGGCAAAATGCATGGAGGCGGTGAACAGGCAAATGGCAACGGTCGATGAAGTAACAAAGCATTCGCTAATGTGTTTATTGTGTTGTCAACCGGTAGGTATATATAAAGGTAGGTATTCATGTGTTGATGCTAATGTTCACATTGGAGCGTTTATAACGCTCCATAGACCAAAGCCACTCAGCGTTGAACACAATATGTTAAGATGGTATAAAGTTGGGATAATTTGGACAAAGATGCTAGTTTGGGAATTCATCTTCAGTGAATGGTGTTGCAAAAATGCGACACGGTATAGGTAATCACAACAGCTACCTGGCAATCGAAACATTTAAACTGTTTCGGAAATAAAAAACGGACAAAAAGGCAGGTGAAAGGGATATCTTCAGTCTAGTTAATTTATTTTACCGCTATTTTCAATCCGGAAAGCGAGGATTCCGTGCAGACCGTGCCGAGGCACAACACCCACCTTGTCGATGTCCGGTTCACTGGTGGGCGTGCCGGGCGTCGGCTGGGCCTCCTCTGATCCCGTGCTGGACATCACCTGTGAACACACAACATCAATCAGAGGACATCGGGCGCAACACTACAGCACGTCGATAGGGGCACGGGTCGGGTCAGCCCGAGGCACGTGGCACCGACAGGAGGTAAAGGAGGTAACAGGTGGTCATCACTGGCAGATGTTCGATCAGACAAAATGAATGAGAGATGGATGAATTGGCGAGCGAGTGTCGTGATCGTAATTAGCCAGAGGAATATACTTTTATATAGTCGTCTCAAATTGTAAGACACCATGCTAAAATGTTATTTCTGATTGGGATTATAATTGCTAAAGGCGCACCAATGTTACAAAGAAGTATTTGAGACAATACACCCAGAGCAGGAAACTATACGCCCACCGGCACTTTTCTTTTTATCTGCACAAGGCGGACGCTCCTCGCATTAGGACAATGACTCTCAGTGTTCTGGCCTACAGGTGTGCCCTTATACGTGAATGAACAACCTTGAAATCTTACGCCCCTCTCGAACAAAAACTTTACGACCATGTAATCGAAAGGCTAGTGACCCGCCAGGACCATCCGAAACAAGACAAACCGCGCCAGCGACCAGCGAGCGTCCATTCTGCGAGCTCGACCCTGAGCATAAAATCCGCGAGGATTTTTCAAACCGCCGCCGCTTCCCGTACCGTCCGCCCTCCCTGGGCGGAGATAGGAGGACGCCGCGGACTGGCGCCAGTTCTCCGCGAGGGACAGCTTCGCCCGGAAAATGGCAGTGCCAGTCGGCCGTTGCCCCCGCGGGACCTGTGCCCGGTAGTCGCGGGCGCCGCGCGCGGACGCGCCTCTCGGACCCTCGCTCCAATTTTTTGCCGCCCCGTCAGACCCCTGCGATCAAGGTCGGATGCCGGGCGGGGCGCGTCACCACACGGAAGGCGCCGGCATCGGCGGTAGGCGAGCGAATTCCTGGGGACGAGCCGCATCTGATCTGATGCTGATTCAACTCTCGAAAGTAGTATGTCCCAATGCTTCTGCACCTGCCGATTTCTCTCGCATTCCGTGATACCAATTGATCGTTATTTCCCCTTTCAGTCCTGCTGACCAATCCGCCAGACCAGGGCGGCACCTGTCATTGGTCGGGGTCGTGGTCATAGCCGCGGAACGGGCCCAGATCGCAAACCGGTTACCATCGGCGACCAGCGCGGCGCCCAGCGTCCCCGGCTGGTCATTAGCTGGGAATCTCTGTATCTGATGCGACCGAGACCGTTGGCAGATGAGGGCAGGACGCGCCGACCCGCCGCGGCCCCGTCGCCGCGACCTGCGCCAGCTTTAATTGGCAGCGGCGAAAAGGCAACGTGGAAACGATCGCGATTAGCGCCCGCGCCGCCCCGGATAATTAATGGATATGGATTTGGACGTGTCATTCCAGCGTCATGGGGAGAAGGCGTGGCCAGTGGCATTCCTTGTGGCCGGTAGGAGAGGCACGTTTGGGCAGGAACATCGCTCATGGGAGATTCGCGGTCGACTTCAAAATGCGTGCAGCCGGAGGCAGAACATGATGAAAGGAGAATGGGCTACGCAGAAAATGAAAGAACGATGACATGAAGATTAATGTAAAGGGTCACTACCACCAAGAAATTACCTCTTTCAAATTTCAATGTCCTCCAAGTGCCCGAAACGGAATATTAGTAAAAAGAAGACTTAGCGGGCAACCTAGATATGACACCATGGAATCCCTTCGCTTAGCCTAAGGATATCAGTTAAATCGCATATAATTTTACCTAAATGAACCCATTAACATACCAAAAGCTTGTCTTCGTTATTAACGACCCATCACCAGGAAACCCTTCCGCATTCCCATTATTTCGCGCAACACTGAGTTTATGAATTCTGTCCAAGCAGAGCGTTCATCAATAATCATGGGACGACGTGTCACAGAGAAAAGCAGAGACTTTTTGAGGAATGAAGCGCAAACATTTGACAAGAAATAATCAATAATAAGGGCAAGCGAATCAAATGCAAGTTGCAAACACCAGGAATTGTTTTCACCGCCCTCGAGCACACAAATCACGCACACGGTGCATTTTACCAAACCCCGCAAGCATCATCACGCTCCACATTTTCATTATCATGCACCTCCAGCCCTCCTTTCAACTGGGACACCTTCGTGTGTTGCTCACCATGCCGAACCGCCCATATCAGCGGCGCACGCAGCGCAATGCGGTGGTGACACGGCCGCGGGCACCACCGTCACCACCGGCCACGGCCGCTCGCAAAAACCGCCGCCGCGCACCTAGTCGACTGCAAGTTGCGTTATTATTCAAACAAGCTTCTTCCTTTCGCGCCAGCATGCCAGTTTTTGCGGCGCGCGGCGGACCGTACAAATACTGGCCGGGCTGCCGGGGGCGGCGCGACGCGGTGGCCGGCCCGGTTGGTGGCCCCGGGCCGCGAATTGGGAGCGATGAGCAGGGGAGGGGAGGGGGGACATGCGCCGGGGACCGAGAGTCGGGAATGGGAGGTAGGAGCCAGCAGACCACAGAAGCTGGATCCAAAAACCCGGATCCAGCAGAAGACTGAGGGTGAGGTTCAGGAGCCAGGAGGTAGGAGCCATGAGTTCAAAGCCGGGATCCGGGAGCCATGAACCTTTTTTTCTCAATTAGCAGGGCGCATGAAACTTTCTCGTGTATAAGGCCGGTTGCACACACCCATGACTATGTTGAGTGTTTCACTGTAAAAAATTAAAAAGTAGCATTAATGAAACTAAATTGGATAAAACAGTCACGCATAATTTCCATAGAGATCTTATATACATGTATATGTATATAAGATCTCTATGATACTTTCTGGCAACAATTATTCGGGTAGTGAAAAAGTTTTTTAGCACCTAGCAATCGACTAGAACTTTATAAAATGGGCTCATCGGCGTTTCTAAGCCTCGCAGATAATCAAGACGCACTGCAAACACCGAAATTCACAAGAACTTTTCAATGGCGAATTCACCAGACGACGCGTTCAAAACCGCCGACCTTCTGTCCATTCAGCAGTCAAAGGGCCGGCGAGGGTCTGCGGGCGTGCCGTTTGGACGTTCTGGCTAACTGAATTCCGGGAGTGCAGACCACTGCTGACGCCGTGAAACGCCGCGCGAATCTGACGGGCTTTGATTCGCTGCTGACCACCACGGCGGAGTCGAATGGATACTGGACACAGTGGAGCGGGGTTAGGATTCGAATGGAATGGAGTGAAGTAAAGTACCTATTGAGTGTGGATGTGGACTGTAGAACTAACTACATACTTGGCTGCCATTACAAGACCAATGTCATTCAACCCCTGACACCTGATGCACTGTGGCCATGAGAGGTGTTCTTTATTTTTTCATCGTCAGGTGGAGGATGTGCAGATCAGGTGCCCATGTGTTGCATCATGCGACACCAACTGTACGGACTACGGAAGCGCTTTCGATACACATATACGTACCCGAACGTATACATCAAATTAAACAAAGCGTTACTCCTCGCCGCACACAGGTGACATCGATCCATACTTTCACAACAGCCAAACCTCCTCAATCATTCCACGCCAGCCACCACGGCAGCGCGACCGTAGTGAGCGCCATGACCGTCCCGACCGTCACCGACCGACCGAGCACATGAAATCGCATGCTGGCGCATTCAGATGGTCATAAGCGTTAAACGTACTCCTCCTCCTGAGCGTTCAAACTTTTGAAACTTTGCCTTTTTCCTTGTTGAATTAAAACTTCGCTTTAAATCGCGCATTGACGCATACGGAAACAAAGTTTGTTTAGGATACAGAGATAGGTACAGGTCTCGCGGGTTTTAGCGGTAGGTTTTGCACCTAGAAAATTTAGTGTACTTCAGGCTATATCTTCGTCGTCTTAAACTTTTAAATGGTGAAGGTGCGATCGACTTGTTGGGTACCAAGCCGGCCATGATCGTGTAAAATGGATTCATCATAGATCGATTAGTTTCTGAGATATAAACGGAAATGTAAAAGTGCAAAACCTACCGCTTAATCTCGCGAGACCTGTACGTTTTGGAAAATGCAGGTATGCTCTGCAGCGAGCACCCCTTTCTAGCCCCGCCAATGCTCGCTCGCCGCCTAAACCACGTCACTGCACGAGCCGAGTGACCCTGTTCGGGAGCTGTTTGGATGACGTTCGCACGCAGCCGTAAAAACCTCCGCCGCCGATCGGCAGCCGTCAGCAAACATACAGCGAATCAGCAAACAAACAGCGAATCAGCAAACAATCCTGATGGCCATAAACACCAACAGGATGCCAGAGTCCGGCGGTCGTCGGGTGTCGCGAGCGACAAGGACAAAGTGTCATGGGTGCCGAGGACGGAGTACCACGGGTGCTGAAGATGGAGTGCCGTGGGTGCCAATGATAATGCCATGGGTGCTGAGGGCGGAGTGTCGTGGGTGCTGAGAACGAAGTGTCATGGGTGCAGACGCAGAGGACAGGGTGCCGTTGAAAGCGGGTAACGAGGACTGATCAACTATAACGTGACCAGCAGAAAAGATGAAAATCTGTAGCTTGCATATGTGCAACGGGAACTGTTGCATGCACATGTGCAACGGTAGCTGTTATCCGTCCATCTCGAAGAGACAAGGGGCAACTGATAAAGCGAGCTCCGATCCCGATAAGCCAATAACGCTGTCATATCAGAAAAGGCATGGTTCTCTGTTTCTGGTCTGAATACAATGGGGACAGAGACAGTGGGCAAACGGAACTGAATAGCGACACGAAAATTTTGAATAATACGCCTCGGTGGACCCGTCAGCGGTCTCGGTCCACAACTCCAAACCACCGCCGCAGCCCAGTAGGACACCGGTCACGGCGGCCTTCCTGAAACTGTCGCCGCACGAGCGGGCGGTGAGGGCGGACAGGAGGCGGGTGGCGGTCTGTAATTCGCCCCGTCCAGGCGCTGGAGAATGGCACCGCTGACCACTGGCTCGGAACGACGAACGGCCGAGGAAGGTTCTGCACGGGTCGGTAGGACAACGGACGGCCGTGGTCACTAACAAGCATGGCACAAAACGATCTCTCTCGATAGTCCACGGCATAGCACACAGGCAGGTCACAAGATTGGACGTTTCAGACAGGACATTCGGGAGCAGTGCGCGAGACCGATCGGCACGACCGGCCACTTCGCACCGCCGCGTGACGATATGCAAATGGCGCTGATGGAAGCCGGGAGCGCTCTGCCCGGACAGACGGAAGGCAGATTGGCCGCCGCGAGTCGAGCGGTCGCGAGCGATGACCCCCGCAGAGGACGCGCTCTCCGGCACCCGCGTTCGGCCGCGCCGCTCGCCGCATATCTGGACGACTGTAAAGCAATTTAGCGGAGATCTCGGGCCGGTAATGGCGCACGGCCGCGCCTGACGCGCCTCGCTCGACCTTGCCGGTGATACAGATCGCGGCGCAGGTCACCGACGCCGCCGATGGTCCGCCGCCGTCGTCGTACGCGCGGCGCGCGGTCAGCCGTGGCACGTCATCAGCCGAATGCGCGCAGCGGAGGATCGTACCGGAATAATGAGCGTATAGCGACACGCCGTGAGCACTGGACGCCATTGTCAAAAGTGGACCAGGTATCAGGCGGGTTCGGCGGTCTCCGCACCTCATTACCGCCCGTGTCAGTGCACACAGCGGTAATTTGAATTTAAGGACAGCGGAGGAAAACACCTTACATGTGGGAGGCATCAATGGCGAAAGCGAAGACGTGTGAGTCACAATCACACAGTGTGGCATCAAGTTTTAGTCACTTTCTTTAGTGCAGTGTTCACCCAGATCACATTCATGCATCCTGTCTCCCCGGCACCGCTATCTGATCTGCACACTCCGCGGGGGGCGGGGTAGGCGGCACCAGGTACGGCCTGGGGCCGGCCGGGGGCGCCGGGCCGCCAGCGTCCGGTGTCGCATCGCGCGCGCCCGTGGAGACGAGCCACAAAGGCCTGTGTCAGGTAGCTGGCCGCCACACCCGAGCATCAGTGCAGGATGTGGCGCCGTTTAGCCAGCACTTCTGCCATCGGGCGGCGGAAGCCGAGCACCGCCGAGGGTCCGCGGCGGCCAACTGAGCACCGGTCCTCGGCCGCCGGAAGCGACCCGGATCGGCTCGTGCCATTCAGGGGTTGCGCTGCACCCGCCCGACCTCCCACCGATCCGGTGGCGACCGGCTCAGATCGCGCGGTTAAAAGGAATTCGAGACGCTGAGGCGGCTCCGGAAAACTGGATCGATTTCTTCGCAAACAAAAGCGAATCCCGAGAAGTGATCGATTAGGCCAAAAGCGGTGAATGAGGAATACTCAAACAATGTAGGGGCCAGGCGAGGCTCTATCATGCTCACGTTATGTTCGGTTTTAGCTAAGTAATTCACGGATCATTAATGCCTAATGAATGACAAATGATGAACATTTGCGTAGCGTATGCCTAGTGTTTAGCAAGTGCACTATGTGCGTTTCATCACTGCTAACAGCCGGCTGGTAACTGGAGCGCACAGGTATGTGCTGGCCGCCGGGGCGGGGACAGGCCACTGGGGCCGTTCGGCTCCATTGTGACGTCACCACCAGAAGGGTGTCAGGTGGACCCGGCGCCGGCCGGTCGCCATCACAGGTAAACACTGCACGCGACAGCGCCTCAGGCGTCCGACCGCCGCCTCCAGTGAGCGCAGCGCGATATCTCGCGTCGCAGAATCACTACTGCGACTGTGCTGACTTGGGACAAACCGAGATAAAACAACGGGAGAGCGTAGACAAGCCCTGGAGCGACGCGGTGGGAACGGAGAGCTCAGACTGACCAAACCGGTGACTGATCACACATTCTGCCGACGATCCATAATGGACAGTTTTCGGAACCAGGGAGGCACGCGCGGAAGGCGGTTCACGCAACCCGTGCGCATGACGGCAGTCGGGACGGCCGCGGCCGGCATTTGGGGAATGCCCGCCTGATAGAGATGGGTTCTGTGGTAATCCGACTGTCACACTCTGATGGGGATTCAGCGCGACGGAGCGGATGCTTTTTACAACATATAAAAAGGTTCCGATATCGGTAAGATTGATCTAAAAGTAAAATTGTGTTATAATAAGGCACCACGGAAGCTGAGACAATAACAATGGCGCTTATAGGTTTAATAACGACTGGAAGTACATATAAAACCAGTAAAACGCCTTTTGGGCGAAGAACGAGCGAGCGAGATAGTGAGCCCTGCACGTGCGGAAGGGCGAGAGGGTACTTCCAACGGGCTTGTGCAAAGCACCCTTCTAACCGGTCGCTAGCGGTGTGCCAAATTTGAACGCAATCGGCCCAGCCGTTCCTGAGATCTGGAAGCGGCATTCTGCACGTGCGCACGTGCAAACGGGGTCCAAAATGACTTTTGCACGGCACCCTACTAACCGGTCCCCAACCGTGTACCAAATTTGAGCGCAATCGGCCCAGCCGTTCTCGAGATCTGGAAACGCATCCTGCACGTGCGCACGTGCAGTAGCACCCTAACCGCAACACATGGGAATGCATTGCCTGGTGGGTGCCTACCTGTATGCCAAGTTTCAGCGAAATCGCCCCAGTAATTACCGAGTTACTGAAATGGGAACAAATTTGACACATCTTATTGTTGTATTTTGCACGTGCACTGGGGGTGACCCACATGCATCGAGAGTATCCGACCTTTGGTAGAAGGGATGCAGCTACCCTATAAAAATTACCGCAAGACAATCGCTCAAGCCGCTACTGAGATATGGGCCTCTCAAAATCACTACTTTTGCAAAACTGCTTGAACACCCTTGACTTTTCACGTGGCACGTGCCACGACGGTGACTTAGATGTATCACAAGTAGTCAATTACGGGGTAGAAGGGATGGGGCTACCCAACAAAAAAGACCGCAGGCCAATCGGTCCAGCGGTTGCTGAGATATAAGCCTCTCAAAAGCGTTACAGGCCGGGCCGGGCCGGGCCGGGCCGGGCCGCTCATACTGAGATTTTTCCGTTATATTGAAAAGACTCGCTTCGCTCGCTGCGCTCGCTCGCTCGTAATAAGCATCGGCGCCATTGATAGTCAGGGCGTACGCGCATCAATAGTATGTGCGAAAGAAATATAGGTGCAACGCCACGGTATTATCGATGTAATGTCGATAGCGCAAAGAGTATTAGGAAAGTACGACCACACATCTCAAGCGCATCCTTCGAAGTTACATACGAGTACAGCAGCTTATCTCGCCCGCCAACCATGCATATGAACATTGAACATGCACACTCTCCACTACCCACCCAGCTCCATCCCCCGGCCCAGCACAGCCGTCCTCACCTGTCTGTCGGCAAACTCCCGGTCCATGATCTCGCGTCCCATGGCGGCGGCCATCAGCGAGGGCACATCCAGCGCCGACATGCCGCCGTGGCCCAGCACCGTGCGCAGGATCGGGTTACTCTCGCACCAGACCTCCTGCGGCTTCCGCTTCTTCTTCTGCAGCTCGGCCGCGGCGGCTGCTGCCGCTGCTGCCGCCGCTGCCGCCGCCGCCGGGTGCAGGGGGTGCGGCGGCGGCTGGGGCGCGGACACCTGCGGAGCCTCCACTGGTGGCGGAGGAGGAGGTGGCTGCTTGGGCTGCGCCAGCTCCGGAGAGTGCCGGTTCGAGTCGGGACAGGGCTGGCGAGGTTCAATTGTCGCCCTCTCGCCACTGCCCGTCTTCTCTGCCTCCCATCGGCCCATGTCGAGTAAACCCTTGATCTGCAGCGTCTCGGCTACCTTGATAAGCGAGGCCAGCTGCTCTTGGGCCACGTTTACCTCGCCCCGATACATGTACTCCAGCAGCGCTCGCATCTCGTGAAGACGGATATCTTTCAGGACGACAATCGGATGTGCCGTCACATGCTCCGCCAGTAGACTCTGCAAGAACGGCGAGCACGCCGCCAGTACCATCTTGTGGCACTTGATGCTGGCGCCGTCGACAGCAAGGGTGACGTCGGTGAAGGCCTCTGAGCGGAGGAGGGTCTCGAAGACGCTCAGCAGGTTACTGTGGTGGTTGTTCCACTTGAGACAGAACTGCTGGCTGGCGTCCATGGCGAGAGAGAGGTAGTCCAGCCGTCTGTGGAGACAGGAGGACGAGACTTGGGTCAGTCCGGGACTGACGGCACATTAGCAAAAGTAAAACGGAGTAAGAGTAAAGTAAACGGAGTAAACGGAGTAAGAGTAAGTAAGAGTAAAACGAAATTGACGGCACATCCAAGAGGCAGCGATAGTTCGACATCAGGCAGAATGCAAAGCCGAGATTTCCTTTGAAAAATAACTGGTAAAATATAATGAACAAGCAAAGTCCAGACTATCCAAAGATCAGGGGTGCTGAATGCCCCAATGATCGATAAACAGGTTAAAGAGCAAGGTGAACGATTTGTAAGCCGCACATGTGCTTGTGCACCCATCCGAACAGATGCCTCGCGATCCTACAGTACATAAAATAAAAGCACGACAAAAAAGACAGTTACGACTGATCGCACCGCACGACTATCGTGCTGCCCAAACACCCAATCGATCAAACCCCGTCCTCTATAAATTTCGACACAAATATACATAGCACCATTCACGTGAAGTGGCGGCGGCACACCGTAATATAAACACATAGCTCATGGCGGACATTAAAGGGACCATCCCACCTTAACATTAGTTTTGAGTTGAGATAGCCAAGTTTGCGGCCAGGCTCAGAAACCACCATTTATCCTGGTCGCAACCCCCGCAGCTTTATGGTGTTCAAGAAATTTCTTCCCTTTACTTGCAGGGTGGGACCAGCTTAGTCCCTATCTCTTAACCATTAGCGGTTTCTTGATGACGTCAGCAGTCATTTCAACGCCCGCCATTCCTTGAACCCGAGTTTTGCTGACCTTGAGCTCCCTTTTTTATCAACGTGAAATCCGTCGTCGGCGCTGAGAAAGCCTATTGCTTTTCATTTTAATTTGAATATTAGAAGATACCCACCACTGGAACTTGGACTGATATTATACCAAGGCCGAAGATGATCAAGCTGCCTGCTATATCTGGAGCTTGGTGTTCAACTTCAACATGGAATAAAAAACAAAATATCAAAGCAAACTGGATATGGTACTCCAAGTTAAAGTCCAAAGAAATTTTGAAGAGCTGACAATTGACATTAATTCTTTTCCTGCAAGGTTTCCATATGGAGATCACACCATGAAGAAATATTTTTGATGTTTACAGTTGAAAGGGGATTGATCATCCAGTTTTGACGAAAGACGCTGCTGACTGTCTTTGGAAAAGGATGTCGGCATGAGGTGCAATTGTGCTTGTGAAGTGGTTATAACTGGTCTTTTCACAGTATTAAATTAAATGTGCCATTGCAGCCAAGTGTGTTATCATGTAAGGTAAAATCAAAACTACAATGTTGGTTTTACGAGCATTGAGAAGGCTGGTAGGTAACACCTGCCTGTGCTCGTAAATCATGCTGCCAAAGTTTTCTAAATTAATTCTATCATACACTTTTGTTATCCAGAATGGTTGCACTATTGTTTGGTATCATATTATTCCATGTAAATATGGTAGCGTAAAGTCCGACCAACATGTTACCAGATTTGAAGCTGTTATGTTACCTAAGTACCTGTTTTTTACTGGCGTGGTGAATGTCATTGTCACCTGGATTTTGTTTTGAGGTGCAGACCTAGTAACTCTGACTACATGGGTTTGAAGCTATTATCTATTCTGTTTTTACTGGCCTGGTGAATGGCGACTGATGTTGTCTGTGGATGGCACTGAAACAAATTTTGAGTGTTTTGTACAGTGTTTTAATACAATGCTGAGGGCTGAAAGTTGTCTTGTTTAGAGTGGTGAAAGTTCAGGATATGCCAGCCACCATGGTGGGTCAGAGTTAAATGTGTTGCAGTCAGTTCGGCTTCGGCAAGCACACGGATGGGCATACGCATCAAGACCTGCTCTGCCATACTTTCAGCCAATTTTACCTGGGTAAGTCTTTTCTTTTTTCTGCCAAAAGCTATGACATTGTGAATTTCAGCACTGTGGCCTGTGTGTAGCTTTCAGGAAAGCAATTCTAAATAAAGCTCTGATAAAGTGCAAAATCAGCAATGCAGCCCTCTATTACATTTTCTACAACATCTTACTTGTTCCTTGCATGGAGAGAAAAATGCAATGTTATGATTTCGTTTATTCACATAATTTGACAAGCATGCAGTTACCTGCTACTATCACTGCACAAAACAGAGCAGAAAACATCAGTTGATCAAACACAAGGCATAACAGAAGTTTACAACATAGGGCTGCCGAACCTGCTTCCTCCCACCACAGTTGATGCCATTTCCTAGCCTGGCTTGATGTGAGCACTGAATAGCTGCTTTGTCTAATTACAGCTCACTACCATTCAACTTAAACTACTATCTTTAAAGTAAGAGTGAGAGCGTTCAGTGTTCATAGCAGCTCGACAGACGACAGACAACAAACATCTTGACAAACCAACCAGTATTTGATTTGGCTAATGATTTATGTGCTTGTTGTATCATGGCCAAACTACTTTAACAGCAATAATCCCTGTTTCATCTTGAGCTTGCTTTTATTTCCATTTGAACTCAGATCTTGAAACAATCATCTGAAGTGATATCAGATACTGGCTTCTGCCTTCTGTTTCTCTTGAAAGCAAGTTAAAACAACAATGATAAACTAAGGCAGGAGATGTGAGTTGTGGCAGTAGATTTTTGATTCAACATATGTCAACCTTATATTGCTTGAGACCTCTGTGACAGACAAACAAATATTTATAGTTTTTTGATAGTTTGGATTCTTGGCTTGATTTAGCAGATCAGCTGTGAACCTTGACTTTGAAATCACCGTCATGGTACCCGAACGAATCCTCGCATGACATTTCTTCGTAGCACAATTTTTCGTCCGCATTTCTTCGTCTACAAATCTTCGTCGGTGCATTTATTTGTCCCTCAATGCTTACTCTTGCATATATTTGCGTTGAAGAAGAAATGCGAGCCGTTTTTCATATACCCTGGTGCGAGACAAAGTAATGCGATAGGTACGAATAAATGCCCTGACGAAGATTTGCAGACGAAGAATTGCGATACGAAGAAATGCCATAAGAATTGTCCTGGAATCCTTTATTGGCCATCATATATTGACCTTGTTAAGATAAACGCGTCATTCGCGCAATATCTGTCGCACTTTGATACCAAACTATTGCTTCCAAATGCCGACGTAAAGAAAACCTTTATGTGACGTCATAGAAACAGCGGATTTCCCAAAAAGTAAACAAAAATAAAAGTCTTATATCTCGAAAACGGGTGAATATTTTCCGGTAAAATTTGGTAGATGTTCATTTTCGCTCTTTGTGATTCACGCTACATCACTTTTATGCCAATTCATTAACTTTTTTGAAGGTGGGAGGGTCCCTTTAACCCTCCCCGCCCGCCATTGTAGCTGTCGGGTCACTACTCTGGCCGCTAAAACGGGAAAAAAGACGAGTCAAGGAGCGTAGCTGGAGGATTGCAGAACGACCAACATCTGCAATCTTCAGCCATAGTCTATCCTTGCCAGACCCACTCGTCCATAGTGCATATCTGCACGATTTATTTGACAAGAAACTACGGGCTATAGCTACAGCCCACGAACAGAAAGGTTAGGTTTTTAAGTTTGGAGGACAAATTGGGCTCTTTCAGACGAGCAAATCGTTTATGGAAGTAGTTGCAGTGAAGCAAACTTCAGTGTCCCCGCAGCAAAGTTGGCCTGATGGGTATTTGGGACAAAAGAAGGGGCAAGGGTCTCGCATAATGTCCTAAGATAGCACCAAGAGTATGGATCAAGCCCATGAATCAAGACAGGTCCATAGATGGCTGAAAGTGAAAACACATGCCACGTAATGAACAAAACTTATTGGTTCAAGTATTATACGAAAAACAGGGTCCCGCTCCCGGTGTGAAATACATAACTGAGATTTAATTCAAAGTGCAAGTGCGAAAACAAAATGACGAAAATTTGCATATCTAGCGCATGCTGATAACGCCACTCAAATCATTTCCTAGTCACTCATATAGTAAATCTGCGCGATCCAGAACAGTCTGCTCCACATCCCATTCTTTCTCATGACAGGTGCACCGTCCGCTATCATTCCGGCCCATCACCACCATCACACCACGTCCTAAGAGACCGACCCATGTCATGTCGCAACAGCGCCGTGGGGCCACCGGGGGACATCAGCATTCGCTGCACACACCGGCGCGTCCCGGACATCATTCGCCGCCGTTCTAATTGACCGATCGGATTTTTTACTTCCCTCTCGGCGGACTGGGCGGCCGGAGATGCCGGACCGTCACCGCCGGCTGGACGGAATGCGACCGCAGTTCGCCTCATCACGCGGCCCGCTCGGCGACGAGGCTCGTTACCTCTCAGCGCTCGCGGCCCGCGCGGATGAGTCGCGTCCAGAGCTCTATCAGATCGGCGATCGACGCTGGCGTGTCGCCACTCTCCGCGAAGGTAGGTCGGCAGACGTGCCGCTGCGTCCCGTCCGCTCCACATGTCACCAGAGTGGCCAGGGAGGAGGCGACGGCTCGCGTGAGTGGGGGCTAAACCGGCTGCCGTCACCGACCGACCGACCGCAGATCACCAAGACAACTACAGGGCCAGTGTAGGAGTGAATAGTGATTGTTTATGAATGCTTTTACGATCAACGATGTGAATCGATATAATGTAATAATCAATTAGATCTTAGGCAAATTTATAATCATATTATCACATTGCTACACAGGTCACAATATTCTGCTTTCTGCCCGCGCCAACTGTGCAACCGGCCAACCCTTGCACCTAATCACACACCTCACCATTTCATCTTAGTGGGCACTGGGCCTTCCCCTATCGCCAAAATCCCTATCCCACGGTGCACTGTATCCTGTTTGTATGCGTGAGCCTAGCGTCCAGTCTGGCGTCAACAGTTCCATTTCGGTCAGTGGCGATACATCAGAGGGAGTGCCGCGGGCACCGGCGCGGCGTCAGCGGACCGATAGTCACCGGGAGAGCCCCCGGCGCCGGGAGGATTGGACGGGAAGGTTCAAATAGCTGCCGCCGAATCGG